GGCTTTTTTGACCAACACTAGTAATCTTTATAAAAAAATAAAAAAGATCTGCAACCGGAGGAAGAATTCGGAAACTTTGCCTTAAATTCACACATTATGCTGCAAATAAAGCCCTGAATGCGTCCAAAGGACTCACACCTTTATCTATAGATTTCTGTTTCAGATCAGGTGAGCAGGTCAGCAGCAGTTGCCATGGCGATCAGATGGTTGAGACAGACTGATATTCAGCCATTAAACACAGAGCTCTGACTTCCTGCTCTTAGTGCAGAAATAGAAGGTTTTCTGTGAGGAAACATCAAATGAGAAGCTGAGATGGATCATTGAGCACAGCTGACTCTCTACGGCCCGCTGGACCGGAATGCTCGTTACCCGCTAGTTCTGTTTAGCCAAAAAGTGAGAAATCAGAGTCAATCATTTTCTGGAGTCAAATTTGGTAAAAAAAAAATAAAAAAACCAAAACTACTGCAGAGTTTCTGTTTCAAATGAAAAAGCAAATGAATGGAAACTGGCTGCTAATGTAGTAAAAACTGAACCCAGTGAGTAAAACATGCAGCGATTCCCAGAACGGGCCTTAAACCGGACCCTGACTGAGCAGAGATCCAAAGCGACCCTGGATGGAGATGGTTCTGCCGGGTCTTACCGATCCAAACGTCGTTGTTGAACCAGGAGAGGTTCCTCTGGGAGCTGTCATAGTAACCAATCTTCTTATAACTGCCTCCTGCAACATTCAAAGGAGCAAAACAGGAAGTAATTACAGAGCGGATCTGGGTAATTTCTGCTGTCAACATGTTTTCACAGCGCCGGGATTAGTGACGGCTCAGCCCACGAGGGGAGGAAAGATGAGACCAACAGCTGAAGGGAGAAAAGGAGCATGAGGAGGAACGGGGGGAGGAGGGAGGAGGACGGAGAGGAGCTGCCCAGGAATACTGATGAGCTCCGGGTTGATTCCAGTCACAGCGTCTCACTGAGGATGTCAGATTAGCTCAACGCGGCGGCAGGAAACGGGAGACGTTAGGGAGAAAGGGGCAGGATTAAATATCTTCATCCAGGAGGTGAGAACAGGGGGGGGGGGATAATCCCAGCCTTATCTGGGTCTGGGAGACTCATTAAGTCACTGCTGACAAACAGGAAGGCATTTCCAGAAACCGCTTAAACGGGAAAGCTTTGGCCCAATTAAAGGAAGCCTGAAGTCATGATGCGGCGGCGGCGGCATTAAGTCTGATGCTGGAAGGCTGCGGGGACGGCGCAGAGGGGCCGTGCTTACCTTGCAGTTGTTCAATGAGGGTCATTGCCATCCTGGAACCCTGGGCGTCAAACACCACGTGACCCTGAGGAGGAAACATTCAGGTTAGATCAAAAGACTGACGGTCAGCGGCGGCGGCGCGTTACATCAGCCCCAGCCAGGCCACGCCTCCACGCTCTGAGGACTGGGTTTGCTTCAGCTGGGAGGCGCTGATCAGTCCTGTGATCAGGCTCACAGCCTGGGAACCGATAGCAGGAAGATAAATCTATGCTGCTGGAATGAAGACGGTGAGCTGAAGGTCTAATCTGATCCTGACTTTAAACGAGAAGATGGCTGCTGATCGCTGCAGGCGGCGGCGGCCTGGATGCTCGACCTCATTACCGTCTAGATCAGGTCACTCAGAGCTCTGACATGTTGGTCAACCTGCATCATCCATCTAGAAATTAGTAAAAACTCTTAAATTAAGTGCATTTTATTTAAAAAGGCTAATTAACGGATCTTCCAGTGGAATGAGGATATTTACTCTTAAAATAAGATAATTAGATAATAAACAGTAAGACAATGCAACAATTGTTTTTTGTATTTTAAATGTAAATTGTCTTGTTTCATTTAAAAAGCGTCTCACTTTCCTCCTTTATTCAAGAAAAAATGCATTTATTTTAACAAAAAAAGACTTAAGATTTTAATGTTTTGCAGGTTAGAGACGGACGGCTCTGACAGGAAGACGGATTAAAGCTTTAAAGCAGAAGATCAGAGGAGAACCGGGATCTCTGCGACTCACCGACACCCCCTCGAAGGAGCTGGTGTTCAGCGCTCTGTAGATCTCTGAGGTGATGTCATGGTTGTTGTAGTTGAAGTCCTCCAGCCGCCGGCCCCTGGCCTTCAGGGGGGCCACAGTCTTGTTAAGGGCCAGCGCCAGGGCCCACACTGCGTCGAAGGCCAGAGGGGCCTCCTGGAACCCACCCGTCTCCTCTGGGTTCTTCCCCCCGAGCCGCGACATCAAGGCACCCAGAAACTCCTGCGAAGTCTGACAGGAAGGGAAGCAGCAGGAGTCAAAGCGTTTCTGAGGAATCAGGCTAAGATCCATCAGCTGAACTCGCCGCCACGCGTCGCTGCCTCTGCTCCACAGAAAGCAACAGTTTAGATCTATGTATCTCCATTATAGCATGCTAAGCTAGCCCCCACAGTGATCTCCCGCTGACGTCACCATGGAGACGGCTTTAACCTGCTGTTCATCAGAGAGCTGCTGATATTAGTGTTAAAGTTAGTGATACTGGCCTGGTGGTTAGAGCAGTTCTATCCACACAGACTGCCCCTCTGGGTCCCTGAGCAAGACCCTTAACCCCACCCTGCTCCCGGGCGCCGTACAATGGCAGCCCACTGCTCCCCAAGGGGAGGGGTTAAACACAAAGAGGGAATTTCTCCAGTGAGATCAATAAAGGGATTTCCATTTACACTAAATAAGCCTGATTGATTCCTAACGATCCAGAACCAGCTGCAGGATTTTAATGCTAAATGACATGAAATCAATATGGCGTCAGACACAGAGGAAGGACAGCAGAGCTGACCTCACAGCCTGTTTTTATTCCACATCCAAACGCCTGCTGTGCCAGCTAAGCTAACTGCAGGCCAACCCGTGGGGGACAGGGAAGGTGACCGTGGAGCCACTCAGTTTCCTTTCTCTCAATGTTTTTAGCGAAGCTCATTAGAATTCAGCATCAGTGCCTCCATCTGACTGCTGCTGTTTGGGCCTTTCATCTTTATCATTGTTGTTGACCTGTGGAGCCAGCAGGGGGCAGCTTTTCAGGGACACCTCCCTGGTCTGGTTTCACCTCCCTGGTCTGGTTTCAC